GTTGTGGTTAAAATGAGAGTTTGGATGTCGGTATTATACGCTCTTTTGTCACTTGTGTTTACAGAAAATTTTATGGAAATTGATAAACATCGCAGCTAACGTCACCCCAGTTAAATTGCAGCCCCATTGGATCACTGTTTCCTATTCGTCTGCTTTGGGAGTTACAGTACAAGAGTACACGCAGGCTAACAAGAAGTCGGCTATATTTATGCCTCATTGATTTGGTCCATTCCTTTCAAACTTTCGCTTCTTATCTATCTATTAAAAGTCTTATTTTTAGTTTGTAGTAAAAATAACTGTGATCCGAATTGAATTGCAACCCCGTCTCAAACCGAATATGCTAACGGTACCACAGCCATTGAAAACGTTACATGATAATCGGAATTATGTACGTGGAGTTAACGCCTGTCAATCAAACGATCGGCCATTCTCGGAGACGGTGAAGAGAGAGTTGACTCCTATTTTTAGTCAAAAATTACAATGGTGATAACTTTGTTCAGAATAAAGTAATTTGAATATATTCTTCTTTCGTCATCTATTTTTGAACTGTTATAGCAAGAATGGCCAACTCTCTATTCAAATCTCCCATAATGTATCTTTAATTTAAAGGTCAATCAATCGAAGGTGGGGGGTAAAAATCGCACGTAGTGTATTACACTACGGCTCGTTTCCATGTACACGTTCTGCGCAAGTTTTCGTCAATCTAAAGCAAATGGGACTGTTTCTGCGAGCGAGAAAAACAACATCCTTAATGCATTCCCAACCGGATATTTATGTCCAACTTGTTGCTACCTGTTCAGCTTGACAGTGACAGATGTTTTGGCCATGGTGTGTGTTAATGTTATTTCCAAAGGTGCTGATTGAATGTTGGCCTCCACACTGTAAAGAGAATCACTTATGACATCATTGGAATATAAAAAAAAAGTCGCGCACAGAACGCACCAGTCTTCCGAAATGGGCCCTTCGTGTTGAGTAATCTATACTTTATCATAACATAACGGCCGCAAAGTCCTCTATATAAACATCCCTAGTCTGTCTAATTGTCTGCTTTGCCTCTTTTAGCTTTAGAATGTTTTAGACTGGATGATGCCAGTGATTATAAAGGAACAATCAATAGAAGTTTTATCTGGAAAATATTGTCAACCATGGGCAGGCCAGACTACTTATGAAGCCCCGGATAATTACTGCCGTTCCTTCACATACAAGAAACCCTGGTGTTTTGTAGACGACTACTTACATTGGGAATATTGTCCAGTTGTCAAATGTGGTAAATGGGTTTTAGTAATTATAAAAACCAACTCCAGCTAATAATCTTTACTAATTGTAAACACCCATATCTGGTAACACATCTGTAAACAACCAAATGTGGTAACTAATTTTCAGTAATTGTAAGCCATGTAGTAAATGGTGTTTAGTAATTATAAACAACCAACCCTCGTAACTTATATTTAGTAATTGTGAACAACCGTATGTGGTAAATAATGTTTAGTAATTGAAAATAAAACACTTTGGTAAATAATATTTAGTAATTGTTACTAATCAAATGTGCTAACTAATTCATAGTAATTCGAAACAATCAAATGTGAACAACCAACCCTTGTAAATACTTTTTAGTTATTGTAAACAATCAAATGTTTCAGTAATTCGAAACAAACAAAAGCTGTAAATAAGATCTAAAAATTGCAACCGATCAAATGTAAACAACCAACTTTTTTCTAAATAATTATTAGTAATTGTCAAAAAATGAAGATACTAATTACAAAAATTAGTTACCCATATGAAAATATTCAAATGAAAAGTGGTATCGAATTTCTAGAAAGAGTAAACATTTCCTTTATCGCGCACGACATCGGTCAATATACATACATAGCTGAATTAAACTGGCCATTTGTTGGCGTGAAATAATGCATTGGGTTTTTGTTTAAAATTTTCATTAGTAAAATTAAACTATTATATTTGTATATTTTAACACAGACCAAATTGTTTTTGGAAAGAGCTACTTAATACTGTCGATTTAGATAAAACAATTGTAAATTAACTAGAAATTAGAATATAAATTACACCAAATGATATGCCATTTTCACTTTAGAATACTTGTGTAAACTGCGAGCTGATGGGTTCGATTATAAAGGTCAAACATCGTTGACGGAGTCAGAACTTGAATGTCGTAATTGGAATATATCTGACATTTACGGACAAGTCTTCACGGAGTTATCTTTTCCTGATGGTGATCGAAACCATTCGTTTTGTCGAAATCCAGGAAGCAGTCAGAGCAGACCATGGTGTTACACAAAAGGGATGAATGATGATTTTGAATTCTGTTCAATTCCAAGCTGTCGTAAGTATTTCTTTTATATATTCGTCTCATGACACTGACATTATACACGCAACACAAATCTACACAGACACTGCAAGCAATAAACAACACGTATCAAATCAAGTGAATCGATCCGGGAGCCAGCCGAAATAATACAAGCGTTGCTGAAAATGAAAAAAAAAATGATTTATTAGAAAGACGTAATGCTACTCGTCTTGATGGTGGTCGTCTTTTGAATAGCAATGTAGTCTGTCAGTTGAAGTTATGCACAAGAACGTCTGTTATGCACGATAAGGTCTAACAACTTAACAATAATAAGGGCGGTAACCCAGATACAATTTTGGAAAACGCTAAAAATTAAGAAATAAAGTGTAATGAACAAACAAGAGAAAGGCCCAACAACGAGAATATTGAACAGTACAAAGGGCTAAACTCTACTCTAATAATAAGTGCAGGAGGACCACCTTACACGCAAAACAAAACCTATAAGACAAACCTGTGGAAAAGGCAAAATACACAAACTATAAGTACGAGAGAGAAATGGGGTTTAACGTCCACTCGACACAAACTAGGTCATTTCGGGACTAACATATGGTTTAATTTTATTTCAATAATTCGCTTGCGCATAGGGGTCTTTAGCAGTGGGAGGAAACCGGAGGACCCGGAGAAAACCCACGAGGTTGGACAGGCGACCGTACTCCTTGTCACGTACAACCGGGGATTCGAAACCACGCCAGTCGACTCAATGACAGACTTAATGATACAGCGCGCGCACGCTAACCATTCAGCCATTCAGCCATCCAACCCCCCCAAAACTAAGTACGAATTGTCTGTAAACTTCCTTTACATTCATTCACCTGAACATATATACATGTATATAAGTGGTTGTGACATTTAAATTTGCCTATTCCAATGTCGATTCTTTGGCGTATAGGAATATTAAATCGCCCGTATGTTACAAATCGTCTCCATGATGAACTGTTCTACTTCAGAATCTTTAGTATTACACCAAATGTATTTATATTTAATATTTCTAGATGATGGATTTCAGACTGTATATCTGATGAACTGCTCTGGTTTACAACCCACGATATTACAGACATCATATTATCAAGATTCTATGTTTAGGGATGAAGTCAAGTTTGTTTATAATTTGACACTGGACTACGATTATATACAGCAGTACTGTCAGCAGGCGCTACGATATGCTATATATGGTTACACTTCGACTCATTACCCAAATTGGATCCAGATACAGATAGCATGCGGTAAGAACATTAACTTAGTTCAGGTTCATGGTTATATATCGCTTAAACATGCAGAATAAGGTTATAAAGGATTTCCGTACCATGTAGTCGCTCAGCTGAAGATTCACGAACAGCTTAAACTGAATAGTTTTTCTGGTACGTTAAAATCGAAGTTACTATCATTCTAACACCTATCAGGTTGCCAACGTATCAAAGCTTAATATTGTTATCTACAGAGCTAGCCTGGCTTACCATGGAAGTATAGACAATGCCTTGGTTACCATCATAGTAAATACAATAGCTTTCATGTGAAAATATAATCTCGTTTTATTTTATGCCATCAAATGAGAAAATCATTAGCGCTTTATTTGTTTTAACAAGATTCAGACTATGACGTGGTGAAAAATATAACATTTTCCTATCTATTTTCTAGTAAGTGAAGATTTGATTCCATCACAAGTAAATACAACTTACTGTATGACGTCATCATCTATACAATCTAATATTACCTCCACATTAATAGAAGCACCAACAACATCCATGTCTGATAGTACGTCAACATCATTAGAAAACACACTATCTTATGACTTGACACCAGCACCCTTAGATGACTTATCCACAACATCTCTTGACATATCAACAGATATATTTCATTCGTCGACAGAACTTCACGAATTGTCTTCAGCTTTAGATGTAACAACAATGGTTGTTTCTGAATATTTAACAGTCGTGTCGTGTTTGACATCATCTACCTCAGACTTTTCTTCTTCATCAAATCAGCCTGACGTTAATTCAACGCAGCTTCACGTCACAGCAACTCTATCTGACGCCACTTCAACCCAGTTTCACGTCACGACAATTCTACCTGATGTCACTGAAGCGCCACCTAACGCCACACTGCCGGATAATTGTAATTGTAGATGTGACAAGCAAGGTGATTGGAACATAAGTCAGGATGTACTGAAAGATCGTATGAAAAATGTAACAAAAGCCTTGGTTGTCAAAACTGCTACATTATCGTCTTATGTTCGTAAACATATTAGTATCGAAGATCCGCGACCATCGGCTACCTATGTTGGATCCACTGTCATGTTTGTACTTACTACGTCTTTTGTTGTCATTTTATTACCAGATATTATTAATGCTGTTTACTTTTTAAAGAAGTCAGCAGTCATGGCACCACTTTTTAAATAATAATTGATGTACAGTGTATTTGTGCCCGTTTACTACAGAAATACACATTTTAATGCGCTTTCTGATTTGCTTATGATCTTGGAAACGACTGGGTCAATGACGCAGCCATATTGACAACCAGAGTAGTAGCATTGATAAGCATAGTGTATCGCATCAATGTGTACGTTTGCATTTAGGGACTTAATTGTTCTTTACGGTTATTTCTTTCTTTTTTTTAAAAAAAGCAGAAACCTTGGCTCACATTCTGTGGATGTAAAATGGTTTATTTGTTTCAAAAGAGATAAATGCTACAATCCAATAATTACAAGTTCATAGACATGGTTATCCACAGAGTGCTGCAGCGCTCATTTTAGGTATATTATATATGACATGGTCAATATGAACATTGACTTAATAAAACGTTAATTTTTTCTAAATGTAAAATAAACGTCTTCGTTTCTGTTTCGTTTCTTTTCATTTTTATTCAAATTGCAAATGTATATATTTCACTAACAAAACATGTTCAACAAATATGATAATTAATCCTTTGTAGCCCAATGTTCATATTCAAATAACTACAGCAATATGTATATGACATTATTTATGAATAGTCCCAAGACGGAAGGTACCTTAAAATGTTATTAAACCCAATATTGAAATCAGTTTGTGTCGATATATATATATTTCCCTATAAACAATAGTATGAATTGAACAACTATATCATTAAAAATTAATCACTGTCTAATATTTTCAATCGCAGGGGCATCATCAGGACATAACATAACAATATTAACAATTACGATAACGTAATACTAAGCAACGTCGTCATAGCAACGTTATGTATAGTAATGCGGGAAGAAGTTAATAGTTGGACACGACTGGTCAATTACCTTTTGCATTGAGTTTTGCTCCGAACATTTTAATGAAACGAAGCTCTTTGGTTTCAAGCAAAATCGTGTCTTCAAACAAAATTTGCTCCGAACATTTTAATGAAACGAAGCTCTTTGGTTTCAAGCAAAATCGTGTCTTCAAACAAAATCATAATATATTTAAGGTTTTTCACTTTTATAAATAACTGTGGTAGATGTGATCTAATTATGTCCATACCCCGTTCTTGAGAAGGAGTATGTGTTGTAACTAAAGTCAAAATTTCATCTTGTTTGCCTAAAACTTTAGGTTTTCTTAAAACCTCCTGATCTATTTTTAAGGCTTGTTTAATGTCATTTATTATTAAACCACTAGATTAGTTTTCATTTCGAAGGAATTGTGTCAATTCTGGTTATCTTGGGGTTTTTTTTTCTTATCAGATTATACGATTGTATAAATTCTCCTAGCAAGATTTAACGGGATGTTTCGTTTTGTATGAGAAGGGTGACATGAATTGAAATCTAAATAATGGTGTGTGCCAGTAGTTTTATAATATAGATCCGTTGTAATGTTACCATTTTCAGATAATATTATTGCTACATCTAAAAAGTTAATTGATGTAACCCTTTTTTTTCTATTATAAAATTTAAACTTTCATTTAGTGAGTTTAGCATGAGATATAACTCATTAAAACATTACCCTTAACAAATATGAATAAACAATCATCTAAGAAACGTTTCCATGAATGTTCAATGTGTTTACAATAATTCTCTTTGCTAATCATCCGTTGGTTGGTGCTTGTGGCGTTGCGTTCGCTACCCCCTAAGGTGATATTGCGGACAAGATAATCACCCTGTTATCAAGGCAGCAACCTCACCTTTATTACTAATGTCGTTCTACCTGCAGGGTCAAGTCTTCATTGTTCTCGATAATAATTGTGAATTAATAAGTTTGACGCAGTATTTTATGAATGATTGCATATAGAAAAGGGTTAAGTCATTACGGTCAGCCACGACAGTCAGTGTCTGTATGTGAGACAATCTATATTGTTAAATAACATATTACCAAGCATAATTTACATGGACACATTTTTATTAAATAAATATTTAGGCAACGTGAAAAAATGACTTGCCTGTTAATATGGAACTCATGGTTAGAAAAAATGTAACACAATCTTCAATATTTACAACAGAGTAACCAATATACAGATCTTTATGTTACATAGAATAAAATTCTTAACTCTTTTGCATTGATGAAATACAAAACATAAATACAAAAACAAAAAAACAGTTTTATTAAAGATGGGTTCCCGCGTTCAAACTGTGTGATTTTATGGTATATATGGACTAAAAACATAATCAAACGAATTAATTTGTCATAACTTTGCTTCAAATCCTTCTCAAACATTGTAATTGCGAAGGAATGTCCTGCTATAATAATTCGATCCAACCAGGCCATGTTTACGTCACGTGACTACCTCTCTTGGAAGTCAAGTTGAGAATTCATTGCATACATAAGATGATGTTGTCTTTAATCGCTTACTCTTTATTACAAATATCGAATCCTAATTAAATTCTCGGATTATCCAATACCCGCGTCTTTCTCCGTCATTTTTTGTCTCAGAAAGTGTTGTAAGTCTAACTCTTCATAAAGTTTATCAACTTGTACATCAAGCGTTCAATGTTCGCGTGTGACCTTTGACATCCCGCGTGCAGAAAGTCCTAATCGTCGGGTTGTTGATTAGGGGAACCCTTAAATTTATGTCCTGTATACGCTCCATGAGTGTTTTTCGGGGAATCCAGTATTTTTCTAGTAAGATCTCTACTTTCCATATATACCAAAATTACCATACTTTTATTGAAAATAACCACCCGATAAATACTTTTCTGGTAACCCATATTTAAGGACCCGCTCAATTCGTTGTGAAACATGGGGCGTTAAATCAACTAATCAATGAAGGGAAGCACTCTTTTATTTCGCTCATGTTCTATGCTCCATCTTCATTATCCAATTGGTTTTTGAAAAGAAGGATGTTGAAGACCATTTCTGTGTATCTGGACAAAATGTCACCTTCTACGAAAAGGTTAATAAATATTGTCAATTTAATAATTAATGTAAGTTTAATAATTAATGTTGTAGGCTTAAATGGCGCAATAAATATATTGTTACATACAGCAATACATTTGACAACCAGCGGCTGCTAGGCAGGATACGCCCACATTTTGCAAGAGATGGATAGAGAACAAACTAAACAAAAAGCGATTTTTCGTACAATCAGGGGCCATAATTCAGGAAATTACGGTCAGATATGAGCGAATATGGAGAGGAACCAAGATCTTTGGGTTATAAACTTACATTGCAAGTTTCATCAAAATCAAAAGAAAACTGTGACCTCTAGAGAGTCCACAACATTGATATACCATATTTTTTTTACGCTATTTGAGTACGAGGGACGCCTATTTTATCTGTCAGTTTGGGTCTGATTTCTACGAAATTCGAACTCAGACGTCCTTAGGGTGTAACGGTGATATACTAAAACGATTTTTTAAATCGGATAAAAATTATGACCTCTATAGGGTCCTCAAGCCCGATACGCGCGAATATCGAAAGGAACCGAGATCTTTGGGTTATAAACTTACATATCAAGTTTCATCAAAATAGGATTAACATTGTGACCTCTATTATGGTCCACAAGCTAAAAACGTGATTTTTCGTACAAACAAGGGCCATAATCCATGAAGTTTCGATCCGATACATGCCAATATCGAAAGCAGCCGAGATCTTTTGGAGATAAACCTATATTTCAAGTTTCGTCAAAATCGGATATGAATTGTGACCTGTAGTGTCCACAAACAATTGTGGACGGACGGACTGGCGTCCACATGAAAATGTGGGCGTATAAAAATCTTGTATACATAACTACACTGTAGTTCTAACAAATAAAAAATATTGTTCCAAGTTACTTAGATATTTGCTGTTCTAAAACAAGAAAAACGTATTATATTTTGAGCATTAAGATGAGAGTTCAAACAGTAATAACATTGTTTTGTTGATTTATTTAAAGAATTTATTAATGATGTTGCTGATGAACCACTCGTGGGTGAATATCTCATGATCTGTGTCAGAACTTAAGAAATGGAGCCGTCCTGTATCATTTAATTTCTTTAATCCCAACCAATCCTGAAATACACAAAAAGAGGCTACTTTTGAATTAGGATTATTTCATTGATCAGGCGGGGATCACGTGACTAAGTGGGTAAGACGCTGGCTCGCTAGCCTGGAGGTCGGGTGTTCGATCCCTGCATTGGCCGAAAAAGTTCATCCAGATTTTCCGGCGTGGTTCCCCTTGTCAGTGATGCAGGATGAAGGGCCTGACAAGGACAGCTGTCTAGTCGTTCGGATGGGACGAAAAACCGAGGTCCCGTGTACACATTGGCGTCCACGTAAAAGATCCCTTGGCAGTTGGAATTCGATATAAGAGTAGGCGATAGTGCCGCTGCCCGGGCAAAATTTCCCTCATCGCACACTGTATGGCGTATGCCCGTCTTTATTAGCCCAGGTTAGGAGCAGAACAGTAGGACGTTAAACCCCATTTCATTTCATTGATCAGGCAAAGCTAGGTTGTCAGGCAATGAAAAGTATGTATTCCCACAGCAGCTAAATTGCCTGGACAGTCAACGAGGGTTGCCACAAAACAAGACACTAAAAACTGGTCAAGAGTAACAACCTTTTGAGTAATTATCATAAATAATTAAAATTTGGTGGCCTTTAGACCTTCCCAATACAGGCATTTATTATACAAAACATGTACCAATAATCAGATGGTAAATTTTAATAGCTATTCGGTTTTTTTTAAATTTGAAGTCAGTCTGATGTTAACTTAAGACTCCGCAACATTTTTCAAATAATCAACGGTCATATCTCTGGCAACAATATCGAAATTTGTTGAAAATCAGAAGGATTATGTGTCTCATAAGCATAAATACAGTGTATAAATTACAGGCAATCGGTGATAACTTTAACTTCCATATCGTCCACAAGATTTTATTTTTCAAAGTGAACAAGGGCTATAACTCTGGCAGTATTGATCGGAAATCATTTGAAATCAATTAGCCTATTCGACTTGTGAACTTTAATACTGTGATTAAATTGAAAGAAATTTGGATAATATATATAGCCTCGACATAAACCGACGGATGGGGTAACTATTTAGTTATGTATCCCTGAAACAGTTTGTTACTTTTAATGCCGAAATGTTGAATAAAATAATGTTTGTTTGGGGGGGGGGGGGTTGTATTCTGTAAATCTTACATTTTAATGTGGACGTATAAAACAGGTTTAATAGTTTTTAAAAAATTACGATGTGATCAAACAACCCACCTGTTTATATAAAGGTGTTTCAAATACAGTTAACATTTTCTTAGTTTGACCTGGTTCATAGAATCCAAACCACTGAAAATAAGTTGCATATAAAAACGTATGCTATTCAGAAAATCAAGACATAAGTATATCCTATTGTTCAAACACGTTAAATTTGCCATGGACAATAGCATGCTCACATAGCAAATTGATATAGAACCAGTGGACACAGGGTTGTTGGTGGGGTGGGGTCTCAGCATCGTCGTCACGTTCACACTTAGCCGAGAACTGGGCAGTAGATAAGAATCGAAACATTTTGTATGTTATAATGACTGCCCATTCGTTCATGCCTGGAATCTTACGTTCACTTCCACCAAGTGTGATATCGCAGACAAGTGTTTCCCGAGAAACTTGCCAGAGGAAGCCACAAAATAGGCTTGATTCAGCTTTTTATGACTGTCCATTGATTTGGGATGTTATATACTATTTGGTTATGTGACATATATGACCAGTTTCTTCCTGCTGTCGGCTGATATCAGCAGATTAAAATGTCCGACAATGGAGAAACCATGAGGTAATCATGTAGATTAAGTTTTTAACCACTGTTATTGGATTGATAAATAGTCCTACCAACAACTTTTTTCGGGATTGGATTGATGAATAGTCCAACAAAGCATTAAGCCAGTCAATCAAGGCAGATTAAGTAGTTAATCAAGGTAAGTGACTGTATAACACGATAAATAGGTTGATCACTTAATGACCTAATCAATCCAGCATATTATCTACGATAATCGAGATGGATAGTAGCTATACACTAAGTACAGTCAACATATTTCGGAATATTGAATAATATTCACCATATTATGATCTTCGATGGCATATTCCTGGTCGGACTTTTGGAAAATCACGTAGAACATGTCTGGAATATACGGGCAAAGTCGCATCCATGGTTCAGTACAATCCATTTCACGTTCATTATGATCTGAAGTCAATGGCACTCTAAGCAATGCTACTGATCAAACATTTACAGTTATTCAATTATGATGATAATTTACATTCAATACCAGATGTAAAATATTTTATTTCTCACCTCGCTCTCTCTAGGTTCAACAGTGGTATCTTGAAGAAATTTAACCAACACCAAATTTTTCAGTTTCAGTAAATTTTCTTTATACACAGGATTCTTGGTCTAAAATGAAAACAAATATAAAATATAACATTAAGTACATCTTAAAATTAGAAAGTTATACGCCCGAAGCACCGAATTAGTAAAATATACACCCATAGTACTGAACATTTTGCTATGGTAAATACTGATTTTATATGCTGGTGATCCTGGTGTAAATGTCCTCTGTCCTTAACCCTTGATCCACTCTGTTTCATCCCCCGAATATCAGACCGAGAGGGTGCTGATGGGCAGCGAGTATTGTACACCAACCAATATATGCCCAAACAAGATCTATAAATGGACATTGGAGCTTGTTTTTGAAACAGGAACTGAACCCAAACACTACTCATTATATTCTTCGTGGGAGCAAAGCTTTTAGAAAACAGCCGAAGCCCAAATTTCCACCAATTCAAGTACAATCGACATGAAACCCGAAGCCTAAAGTTCCGCCAATTCAAGCACGATCGACATGAAACTTGGCATGCTTGTTATTTGGACAATTGCAAATAGATAGACAGACTTCATTTTCATATGAAATCGATGACGTCATACTCGGTTTCTGGTCCTTAGAATCTGTGTACTTGTTTCCAGTTAAATAGCCTTAACATTTTTTAATAAAATGAAATTATCAATTAAAAAAGAAAAAAAAAGAGCATACTCTCTCCTGGTTGATGTCAGCCAGAAAAACACTTTTATTTCGATATTCATCTAGATTCAGTGGATCCTGCCAATATTCAGCTGGTACTAAACTATCAAAATAAGATATATACAAGACTTAATATTATATCATTGTTTCTTTTATTTACATTATTCAATTTGTTTATTTTTCATAGAAAATAGATTATTGTTTAAAGATTATTGATGTAACATAATAATGTATTAGGGAAAATATAGACTAAAGAAAAAGGGACCTGTACAACCATTTATTATTACTGACAGTCTTAAGTCTATATCGTATGTGTTTAATCGACTGAATGTTTAAATTGATCTGTCTTGCTGACTCTTCTTTCCCTTTTCAGGTATTTATCTGGGAAGAGTCATCTACAACAAGGAAAACTTTTAATGAACTACAGGCTATGATTTTAAATCGTTGAAGTGGTGAACTGTTTTTAAAGACTTGGAATGGTTAACGAACTGGAAATAATCGCACGGGCAGTTTTTAATATGTAAATAATCCACGGGTCCAGCTACGTATTTTTACCGCGAGAATTTCGCTTTTCCACATAAAGCAAGCGGATTCTTTTTCCCCACGTTTTTTTGTCTATCCGCACTGATTATACCAAACATCAGTCAGTCGGACCACCTGTTTTAACTTGTTTTTATTATGAAAAGGGAAACGATGACCCGCCTTCTCTTCTCGTGTGCGAACTTTCAACACCATGTTGTAAAGTGACATTTTGATATACAAGAGCTTATTTTTTTTCCTCTATGTTTTACCCATTTTCCTTTTTTAAATATTACGCCTTGATATGCAAATAACTTAATTAAATAAACCTGTCCATAATATTATATCATAATGTATTGGACGTTAGATTTGTAATAAACAACAACATGAACAGGCCCGCAAGGTCAGTATCTTGCAGTAAATTATTTTAAGCATAATAACTTTTCCAGAGCTTCGATGGCTGTAAGATCATTTCATCAGGTCGTCTTTGGATACATTTACACGAGAAAATGTAATAGTCGGGATTAAAAAGAAGGTTACTGTATTATAATAAATGTTTTATTAACTTACTGATCTTGTACAAAGCTGGAAATAAAAAGCAAAACCCATTATAACATAACGTTTTGTTGAAATAAAACAAAAAAAAACGGAAATCGTCACTCCTACAACTGTTTAGTTGCTATGATACCTTGATTGAATTTGGAATTTAGTAAATGAATCGGCCGAACCGTGAAAACCTCATTGTGTTCATAATATGTTAAATGGAATTAGATCTGATTTGATCAAACTATTGATTAAGACAACTGTTCTCTTTTAAGACTCTTTACCTACCTTACATACGCATCATAGCTGAGAAGTTTTCTAACAATATCACATAGCGTGTTATTGTCACCTGGACATTTGGGAAAACCATACACACCTGATAATAAAATAAATAGCATATCAAATAATACTATTTGTTGAAGAAATGTTTAAAGGGGAATTGCTTAATTTGGTGAACTTTAGGGATTTTGGGAGCCACGGTGGCTCAGTGGTGAAGACGTTGGCTCGCCAACCTGGAGGTCCCGTATTCGATCGGGATTTTCTGGCGTGGTTCCTCCTTGTCAGTAGTGCACGACCGATGGCCTGGCAAAGGAAACGCTTAGTCATTCGGATGGGACGAAAAAACGAGGTCCCGTGTTCACATTGGCTTACACGTTAAAGATCCATTGAGTCAACTGGCGTGGTTTCGATTACCCGGTTGTACGTGACAAGAAGTAGGGTCGCCTGTCCAACCTCGTGGGTTTTCTCCGGGTACTCCGGTTTCCTCCTACTGCTAAAGACCCCTACGCGCAAGCGAATTATTGAAATAAAGCTGAACCATATGTTAGTCCCGAAATGACCTAGTTCGTCTCTCATTAGCCAGTCGGAGCAGAACAGTAGGGCGTTAAACCTCATTTCATTTCATTTCCTTTCTTTGGAGATTTTAATTTTGAGTAGGCCTACAGGTACTAAAGTACAATAATCATAATAATAGATATCTGTACAGTTAGTTTCATAATATCCCCCCTTGCAAAGAGAGAGGGGAAGAGAAATGGGGTTTAACGTCCAATCGACACAAACTAGGTCATTTCGGGACTAACATATCGTTCAATTTTATTTCAATAATTCGCTTGCGCGTAGGGGTCTTTAGTCGTGGGAGGAAACCGGAGGACCCGGAGAAAACCCGCGAGGTTGGACAGGCGACCTAACTCTTTGTCACGTACAACCGCGGAATCGAAACCACGCCAGTTGACTCAATGACAGACCTTATGAAACAGCACGTGCTAACCGTTCGCCCCCCCCCCCCCACCACCCCGGTTGCAAAAGTTATGGGCAAAATATTAATCAGTATAAAGTCGACACCAAGGGCTTCTGAAATGAAATGACATGGGGTTTAACGTCCTACTGTTCTGCTCCGACTGGGATAATGACGGGTATAGGGAAATTTATTTCGCCCGGACAGCGGCGCTACGGCCTACTCTTATATCGAATTCCAACTGCCAGGGGATCTTTTACGTGCACGCCAATGTGTACATGGGGCCTCGGTATTTCGTCCCATCTGCACGACTAGACAGCTGTCCTTGTCAGGCCCTCCGTCCTTCACCACTGACAAGGGGAAACCACGCCGGTAAATCCCGATGAACTAATGGCTTCAATCAATCGCATAATGACGAAAAAACTATAAATGCAATGTATAGACTTTCTATATTTGGGGCAATGATAGCTAATAGTGTCAGATTTTTCTTCCAAGGTAAACTTCGTGTATAATTTGGCAATACATTCCTTTAAATACCTGTATTGTTACAGCTGATCAATTTCAATGCAGTTGATATTAGATCTTGTTCAATGACCATAAAATGGTGAAGGGGGATATGACTTCGCACTCTGATGATCCAGATCTATGAGGAGTGGAGGCCTGGGGGTATGCATAAAGGGCAAAACAAAATTTAGAACTTTATTTTTACCAGATTGTACACATTACACATATATTTGAAACCATGTCCTACTTGAAGTATTCTATTTATGAAGTACAATGTTAGAGTTCTTACCTTGATGCTGGCCGCCAACAGAAACGAAATTGAAGATGCGTGGTGTCGGACATCTCTGGACCACAGCTCGCCTAATCAAAGAAATGTAATTATTCATTTATATCATTTTTTTTAAAAAATGATTTTAACCCATTCTTTAAAAAAAAAAATAAAGATACAAAAATTTAAACACATTATGCAAGAGCTAAATCTGCTTATTGCAGGTCTTTCTTTAGACCTGAAATGTTATTTAAATTATTAATTAGACATTGATTAACTTATCAAGGCAATAATCAACCCTCGATGCCATCGCTAGCCTGCGATATTTACTGGATTTAAATACATTTTGTGATTGATGATTTAACGTCAAAGTGGATAATCGAAAATTTATTTTTTATCGTACTGACTTTAGTAATGATGATCGAGGTTTGGCCTAAATTGCAATCGTTAATATCTGACTGAAGGTTTCAGCATATTCTCTTCCCGTTATCTATTCTTAACTATTATAGCAAGAACTGTCAGCCAGCTCTTTATCTAATTTCCCTTAATGGCCCTTTAAGTAATTATAGTTTCATCAATCTTATATAATTGAAAAATGAAATGAAATGGGGTTTAACGTCCTACTGTTCTTCTCCTATGCTGGGCTAATGAAGACGGGCATACGCCATACAGTGTGCTATGAGGGAAATTTTGCCCGGGCAGCGGCACTATCGCCTACTCTTATATCGAATTCCAACTGCCAAGTGATCTTTTACGTGCACTCTAATGTATACACGGGACCTCGCTTTTTCGTGTCATCCGAAGGACTAGACAGCTGTCCTTGTCAGGCCCTCCGTCCTGCATCACTGACAAGGGGGAACCACGCCGGAAAATTTGGATGAACTTTCTCGGCCAATGCAGGGATCGAACACCCGACCTCCAGGCTAGCGAGCCAGCGTCTTACCCACTTAGCCACGAGATCCCCCTAATATAATTGAAGATTCTAAATGTCAACTTTTTCTTTGTTTCCATCATCAACCCATAAAACACCATCAACATACATAATGAAAAAGAACGGAAACAGATGAAGATTTGAATATGTATTTATAACACTGTCACTGATTAAAACTTACATAAACTGTCCGCCCTGAGAGAACCCAAGTGCGTTGTAACCATTTTGTAATTTAGAATCATTACTAATTAATTTACAAGCCATGGTAACCTGATCGTTGACGTTCATTAAATATCCATTATTCACATCCTAAAATACAATAATGATTATATTAAACAATCGGGGGTCACGGTGGCTAAGTAGGTAAGACGCTGGCTCGCTAGCCTGGGGTCGGGTGTTCGATCCCTGCATTGGCTGAGAAAGTTCATCCAGATTTTCCGACGTGGTTCCCCCTTGTCAGTGATGCATGACGGAGGGTCTGACAAGGACAGCTGTCCAGTCGTTCACATGGGATGAAAACTTGAAGTCCCGTGTACACATTGGCGTGCACGTAAAAGATCCCTTGACTGTTGGAATTCGATATAAAAGTATGCCGTAATGCTGCTGTCCGGGCAAAATTTCCCTCATAGCACACTGTATGGCGTATACCCGTCTTCATTAGCCCAGTTCGGAGTAGAACAGTAGGGCGTTAAACCCCATTTCATTTCACTATTAAGAAATCTGTGAACTCAAACATTCTCATCTAACATGTTGTTTCATGTCAGAAATTTCAAATTTTTCAGACTAATGGTATTAGCATAGTATAATTCAGTGTACGGACAAATGATACCCTTTTTCTTTCTCAGTAAATATACTTACTGAATATTCTACGTTTATTGAAAGATATAAACTAGGTCCTAAACTACAGAATTTCTTTTTCATATTTACAAAGGAATTTGTTTATATCTCATACAGAATATATCAACATCATTTGTAACAGAGTGCCTTTTGTTAAAGGAGCTTAGTCGCTAATATTTGGGACCCAGAAATTGACACAAATGGGTTGCAACGCATACAATAATGAAATATGAATGTATATAAATTGATTTACATTCAATCGTTTCTGTTTTTACTGTAACTTCTAATCAGTTAGGTTCGGCGAAATACGCCAGTATTCTCAATCGAATTTCAATCTTTAGCGACTGGTTATTCCAACATACGCCGATAGTATTTATTGGGCATGCTCTCCAGATAAGAATATAGCGTCACCGTTTGACATGACTTGTGGAATATGCCTCGCCTCGTTTTGCGAGTCCCTTATTACAAATAGCGCTAAAAAGTATTATGGTACACGATTCGTGTACCAATTGAAAATGTTTATTTTGTCTTAAATAGTGGATATCAGAAGGCCATCTTTTCCCGGTAAGATCACAACATCAATGTTGATTTAAACCAACAAATAAATCGTGTTTTTAATGTCGAGGATTTTGGATGATATTGAGTTAGAGACTTAGCTACTTTAACCAGGCAAATGATCTTAAAATTTCAAAAATATGCCTCGTTTTGCGAGTCCCTTATTACAAATAGCGCTAAAAAGTATTATGGTACACGATTCGTGTACCAATTGAAAATGTTTATTTTGTCTTAAATAGTGGATATCAGAAGGCCATCTTTTCCCGGTAAGATCACAACATCAATGTTGATTTAAACCAACAAATAAATCGTGTTTTTAATGTCGAGGATTTTGGATGATATTGAGTTAGAGACTTAGCTACTTTAACCAGGCAAATGATCTTAAAATTTCAAAAATATGTATTATTACCTCAGTAGTATTATTACCAATTTCAAGAGATTTAACATATATTCCTTGAACTTGTTCCTCTATTAAACTTTTGATTGGTCCAATACTTCGCCCACAGCAACTTTGTCCTGTAAATAAGTAAGCAAGGCGATTAGTCGACTGCAGAAACTGTCTCCTGTATACAAATAAAAGCATACCAAGTTACTAACCCTACCAAATCTACACAGGTACTAAACTTTCGTCACAACTTCAGTCTTCATTTGACCCTACCAAATCTACACAGGTACTAAACTTTCGTCACAATTTCAGTCTTCATTTGACATTAGTTGTAAAGAATTTTGCATTGGAAGGGAACTCAGCTCAGTAGGAGACAAAAGCTAACACGATTACAGCTAGAAATTACAAATACGTGTACAATACTTACACCCCTTTTAGTGAAATGGGTCCCAGAAATGTGTACTTAAACATGTATTATACAAGAACTAAAGCTGCCCATTCCAGGCCTTTCTTTAGGCCTGAAATGTTACCTAAATTATTAAATAGACATTAACTAACTTATCCAGACCATAATCAACTCTCGATGCCGCCATTAGCAGGCGACGTAGAAATGGACAATCGATACTTTGTTTATTATCGTACCAACCTTAGCAATGACGATCGAGGCTAGCCTAAAATATATATCTCGGTTCCGAGTTAAGCAATTTGACTGACAATTTCAGTATATTCTATTTTCATTATCGATTTTGTAACTATTACAGCGACAACTGTAAGCTCATTATCTAATCTTAACTAATTCCCATTTGATTTAATGAGAAAGAAATGGGGTTTAACATCCACTCGACGCAAAGCAGGTCATTTGTGGATTATAATATTTCATCAATTTTATTTCAATAATTAACTTGCGTATATGGGTCGTTAGCGGGCGGGGGGGGGGGGGAGGTCAAAGAAACCCACGAGGTTTATATGGTGTATTATTTTTAAACTGTTATGATTAATATGGTATTATATAACAAATAATTATTTTAATTCAGATTTTTTTTCGTTGATGTTTCATTATCAATTTCATTTCAACAATTAACTTGCGTGTATGGGTCGTTAGCGGGGGGGGGGGGGTCAAAGAAACTCACGGGGTTTAAATGGTGTATTGTTTTTAAAAGTGGACTTGATAACTGTTATGATTAATATGGTATTATATAACAAATAATTATTTTAATTCAGACTATTTTCGTTGATGTTTCATAATCTTCCAGATCTATGTGTCTTGAAATTGTACATTTTTTTTTTAATTTTGAATTTTATATTACATAATTACTTTTGAAACTTATCTGCGCGACACGAACAAGGTAAATATTTATATAAATTCGACAATCATGGTTGACCTAGATAAGCAACCTCATCTCCCAACCCTGCGTATTTTGAGATAAGAGATGGCACTATATAGATTCACCAGGAGAAATACGATGCGTATCAAATAGTACTTCAATAAGCAAAACAGTTATCTTCCAAATAACGATTCATTATTGTTATTTATTATTATATTTCTGTCACATCCAACTACAATTTAAGCATATAATCCTACCTGACACGAGTACAAACCATCTCTTTTAAATAGTCAACAAGGAAAATGGCGGTCGGTATGAAAAAGTATCTCTCGTCAGACCCTAAAAGGTCAGTTATTGGTCGATTCGGCTGAGATTTGGTCTGAGATCCTCGCTAGTCCCCCTTACCACCCCCAGCAAATGTCAAGTCTGTACGACCACGGGAAGTAGTACAAGGTGTACGAAAGTGCATTCGCGCCGCTAGGTTGGTTTCTTTACTTTTAACATGTTACATGCATTAATTTAATATAAAAAAAAATAATTTAGCCAGGTGAAACTAAAGGCATCTAATTGTCGTAAATTGATATATTATCTGTACCAAGGCCATGCCAGATGACAACAGGCACTGGATCTTGTGTTGTAATTTCTACCAAACATAACAAAACGAAGCAGATAGTTATTGTCATCGCTTTGGGCTGAAGTCAGCGGACGATACGCTGAGCGGACGTTTTATGACCTTGACCCTCATCGTCGAAAGCTGCGGTTAACAAAACACAATGTTTAGCCGTTGAAGTGAGCGTAAGGAATGAATAACAAATGTCAGCGCTACTATTTAAACCATTATATCGATACACCGATATGTATCGATACGTTCCAGCGATATTTATATCGATACGTAATATAGCCGTATTGCCGTATCGTTGAAAAAATTCCTCAGTTAAGAAAGACCACGAAAAACACGCGGCGAAAGAAGACGATCTCGGCATGGTTTGCCAATGGAGTGCTTCCGCGCTCCGTATGAATTCCAGGTACCGGTAGATATTAAAATAATAACTGGATCATACATTGATGGATTCACTGACCAGTTGTTAGGTAAATTTAAATCTTCATTGAATATAATTAATTGCCTGATAGAACACCGAATAACAGTCATTTATTAATATATTTTCCTGATAGAATTCCAATGACACGTGACGTATCGTTTCGAATTAGGTCAATAAACCAGTTCTAAATAGCGCTTACCGTTATGATTTTTTTTTATTTTATACACATTCTGACAAAGGCTTAATTTTAAAAATATTGTTTTTATTGAAGGCTATATCATAATCGTACGGAAGTTTTATTTTAAAGCAATTTCAAGTATGGTTGTCACGTGACAATTGTGCCGTACGTGTGTCTATCAATTGACGAATGAATAAAAACTTTTGCCAAGTTACGTGGCTAGTTACCTGATAGACAAAGACTACAAATTGTGTTATGAAGAAATGCCATGGTGCCGTATCAGCTTATTTTGTGTACGTACGGCATTTTTTGATACTGGCAATAGTTGAAAAATGCTAATATTTTAGATCATCGACGACAGTAAATAATTTATTCTGGAATATTACTCGAACTTCAAGATGGTACGTGAATTAAATATGGAAAATTTTCAAAGGGTGTACCTGTCGTTATTTTTGTGGTAATCACATACATTAAAATATGACATTCTCCACAACAAATTACCAAGAGCTATATTTCTTGAAGTCTAGTTATATTAAAGGAAATGGAACTTATAATTAACCCATATCTTACGGGACCTCAATTCTGGCCAGTTTGTTTCAAAATGGATTAAGAACCCTGATGCTTACCCATCTCAAACATATTGAAACAGAATGTAGTTTGAGATTATTTTGGGCATAATTCGTGATGTCATCATATCGCGATACGTATCGCGTATCGGGTTGTCGTATCGTCAATACGTATCGTATCGAAAATGAACTGTATCGACACAGCCCTAGAAGACACACAATAATTTGAATGAAATGAAACAATATTTATCCCCCATTTCTGTGGCACCAAAGATAATTTCTGAAAGTCACTGGAATACACCGCAAAACAGGTGGAATTAATTACCGGTTAAACCGCAAAACCCAATATACTGATCTCCTTTTTTTTCGATTTTCATTTACCAAACATAGTTCATTCAATGTCAGTTATTATGTAGCTCAATGAAATAGCAGAGGGCGTTTGATAAATAACAATTGACAAAAAAGCGTGTGGGTGGAAGGAGGGGGGGGGGCGTAAGTGCTCTTTCGGGACGGATTTCAAACTATTTCGAGGAATATTCTATGGTGCCATGAAATGTATTGGTTGGCTCAGGAAAAAAAAGAAACATTTATGTTTGGTAAATGAAAATCGATAGAAAAAGGAGATCAGTACATTCCGGTGTTTTGCGATTTAACCGGTTATTAATTCCACCTGTTTTGCGGTGTATTCCAGTGACTTTCAGAAATAATCTGTGGTTCCACAGAAATGGGGGATAAAGATTGTTTCATTTCATTCCAATTATTGTGTGTCTTCAATGGTTTAAATAGTAGAGCGGACATTTGTTATTCATTCCGTACGCTCACTTCAACGGCTAAACATTGTGTTTTGTTAACCGCTGCTTTCGACGATGAGGGTCAAGGTCATAAAACGTCTGCTCGGCGTAACGTCCGTTGACTTCAGCCCAACGCTTTGGACCACCGCCATTATTATTATTATTATGGATTTATAAAGCGCCACTTCCACAGTACTGTGCTCCAGTGCGCTTTACAATATAGATATACAAGCAAATATGAATATAGAAAAAAACATAAATACAAAAAGGATATACAGGTAAGTTACAACATACAATAGGAAAGGCACGTACATTTAAAATTCTTAAAACATCAGCATATAGACATGTGTATACAATATTAAAAATTTATTAAAATAAAAGTTAGATAATTAGTAAAACAAAGGAAAGACAAAAAACAAAAATAATTATCACAGCTATAATTTATATTTTAACATCGTTTGGTGTAAATACAATAAAATTATTCAAATGCTTCATTAAAAAGATGTAGCACCATGGGCCTTCTGTCTGACGTGGAGAGCGGGAGTTGCTAAACCGATCTCCACATCCTACGTACGACCGATGCATCTTTTCTTACTACATATCTTAGTAGCCTTGTGATCGTCTAGAATTTGTCTCTAGCCGTCTTTGCTTTAGCTCCACGTTGTATATTTACTTCTTACTATTTCCTAAGACCGATCTCCACATCCTACGTACGACCCATGCATCTTTTCTTACTACATATCTTAGTAGCCTTGTGATCGTCTAGAATTTGGCTCTAGCCGTCTTTGCTTTTGCTTCACGTTGTACATTTACTTCTTACTATTTCTTAAGACGTTTTTCTTTTCAGTAGTTATAACAATGCAATAGTTCATTTTTACGTTTTATATGTCATAGCTGCTTACACATTGATACAAGCATAGTATAGATTACAAACACTAGCCAAATTAGCTGACGAGCCTGCTGATAGAAACTGTTACATCTTTCCCCTTCTGGAATCAAGCTGCTATCTAGGAACTCAGATGATAAACTCTCCAGAATCAAATGAAAGTTTGTCTTAAAACTTTACCATGATTTCGTTTATAGGACTCATGGATATCACGCACAGAGTAAGCTAGTCGTGACACTGAACCTGTGCAATTACTGATTATGATTGGTTACTTTAGCCAAATGATGCAATTAGTAAATTTCCAAGCACGTGTAATCTCGTGGTATTTTATTGACATATACAACCAGCTATGTTTTGGTTCTGTAACTCTTTTTATGTGTTAACCTGTCACTTATTCACTAAGTTGATTTATGTAAATACTACATATATGTGAATCTAATAACTTGCCAAAGATATTAATTAATACAATATAATGCTATCATTAATTATCAGAACAAAAAGTCTAGCAATATTAATACAAAGATGCGTTTTGAGACGTGTTTTAAATGTTGAAAAGGACGGTGAATTACGGACACTCAGTGGTAAACTGTTCCACAAGTAAGGATCCTGGAAGGCAAACGATCGTTCAACATAGTTCACAAGTCGAACAGGTCTTTTAATTAAGAGATTACCAGAGGATGACCCTAAAATACGATTAGTAGTATGTAATTCTAATGGGTTGCTCAAATAAGAAGGTGCCATGGGATTAAGACATTTATAAGTTAAAACAAGCCCACAGTGAGGCTGCCATCTCCCGCCGAAATCCCGAAATAAATAAATGACACATATTAATTAATCGCATTTTTATTTTTTTCAAAAGTATCGAGCAATCAAACTATACACTAAGTTTCATCATTCCCTATCAGATAGAATCAAGATTATCGTGTCCCAAACCATCGACCAATGAAATTGATTAGCTCTGCTTAGCTTCAGCTCGAAATGTTAATCATTGAACACAGTCAAGACATTCACTTAATGAACATCTACATCAAGGTTAAACATTCTACCTCAATTAAAAGCAGAGATGTTATGTTCCAAAGTCTTGACCAATCAAATTGCTTATCGTTTCTGAACCTAAGCAGAAAATTCTCACCATCGACCTTAGTCAAGGTAATGGACGCCTACACCAAGTTTGAACATTCTACCTCAATTAGAAGGAAGGTTATTGCAGACTTGAAAATTTGAAGGGTCCGCGGAACTTAAATCTAAAAGCCTGAATCTGACCCAAAAATTGCGAATTTGCATACATTGAGTTGAGTCATTCTTCCATTGTGGGAAAAAACAAATAGTCACATACAGCTCTGGCAATTAGCCAAAAACGTCGACAGCATAAATTGCCATCCGGGCCGATTGACCCCACGGCAAATCGCCTATTGACGACGGCAACTTTTTTTAAATACCGTACTGTATGAAAATATAAGTTTATTGAAATTTAGAGTTTGATTAACGCCGTTCGCCTGTTGACGTTGAATATTGTTGTGTTTGCTTTTTAATTTTTATCGGCAGCGTTGATAAGAACGCCCGAGTGCCCTGGTGCTCATCAACGTTAACAGAAAGCTCCAGCTAAATGTCGAGAATATCGTTGGGCAGTTCATCAGAAAAAAGCCACGCAGACTTTTCTCTGCATTGCACAGTTAAAGTGAAGGTCCCACATAATTTTTGGAAGATAAATCTGTTTAATTTTGTGTGAAAATTCCCTGTAAACCTCTACATTTATGATTAAGCCTGTGCAACAATTGCAAGCTATATTATTTATTTTTATGCGCTGAAAGTAAAAACAGTAAACCAAGTGTATTGACATTCGTCTGTGAAAGTTTGTGCTCTGGAAAACCCCGACCAACTTTCCTATACTTAAATGGACTGGTAACAACCATAATATGGTGCATTAAAATAAATGTAAACAAGCCCGGTCCTGCCATAGACTTGAATGGAAATAATTGCTGCCAGAGTTACGGCTCACTTGATCACTTTGATATATCTTTTGGACGCTCTAGAAGCTAAAGTTAATATATGATTGACTCAATTTATAAATATTGGTTATGCTTATTGATTTTCAACAATTTCCGACAATTAATAAATACTGCCAGAATTATGACCCCTGATTACTTCGAAATATGATGCGGATGCTCTGTAAGCTAAAGAAATTATTAGATTGATACACAGTTGTTTAAGTCTTGATACAATAATAGTCCATGCAAGATAGCAAAAGTGCGGGC